ATTAGTTGCACCCTTGAAAGTCTAGCTATGTTATGGTGTCAACTATGAACCAGCGTGATGCCAGTTTGAGTCAGACCAGGCACAGTGATGCAAGTCACGCTGTCACTTTTCTAAGAAGTAAAAAAAAAAAAAAAAAAAAAAAATTTTTTTGTAAAATTCCCCTGATTTCTTATTGAGTCACAGCCAATATTTTCCGGTGCCAGCCTCTTTCAGTGCTCAGAATAAGCCGACGTCCTAACAGCTGTGGAACAGCCTTTACAATCATCATGTGCCCATTACCTACAAATGAGTGTTGGCAAGAAATGGTACTTCATTAGGAGAAAATGCTCAACAGCAAAATAGGCACATTCATATTTTCAACCCAATTTTTAAATGGAAATTAAGGTCTGCTTTGTTTAGTAACAAATTTAAATAAGGCTGTGTTGATAACTGGCATTACCAGTAACAGAGTTTTACAAAATAGTCCTTGATATTTTTTGGATTAACACTAAAGTTCCAAATAAACTACAAAACAGACAGGAACATAGACTATACATATACATTATAGTATATGACGTGATCACATGTGTGTATGGTCTGTGTCTGTACAGTACAGTCCGCATGGTCATAAATCCTGGGCTGCACACAGACACCTGCACAATCTCATGGAAATGGGCAGATGACCAAATTCACACAGACACAGGAACTATAACTTTTAAGAATATTACAAACTGAGAATGCTGAGACACTACTGGATTTCCTCTGGCATTTTAAAGCAGAGGCACTCTACCTCGCATGAAAAAATGAGCATTCCGTTCAGAAAAAAAATGATTACATTTTTATGAAATATAACATTAAACTTATGGGCAAACAAGCAGAACAGCCGTGATGGCTGCTTAAACAGCTATCTAGTTATTAAACTGCTGAGATACATCTAGATTTTTCTGATTCAGGTGGCAGACTGATCAATCACATTGCACACTAGTTAAAGTCTGATGATGCTGGCAGAAGGGATATTTTCCCTAACAAGTTAATAATTGCCCAAAGTGCTGACTAGTGGCTTAAGCAGTCAAAACCCTTACCAAATCTGAATGAAAGTCACTTTCGGCTTTTCGCGTTTTGAAGGGTCGCCACAACGAATCGTCACACTGACGAGCTGCATGTTGACATTTTGCATGTGCTTTACGTCGGATGCCCTTCCTGACGCAACCCTGATTCGAACCCAGCTGCAGCGGCGAGAGCGCTGCACCTTAACCACTAGCCTACCAGGGACGGCTCCTTACCAAATCTGAATATAATAAGTAATTTGACAAAAACAACAACAAAAATAGCTCTGTTGAAAATGTCTATCTTTAATAAAACTCCAAAGAGCATAAAATATAATTCGAACTGAATTTGACAAATTTAGATGAACCCATTTCAAATCAGATATGGCATATGTGTTTGTAACATGCACATCGTTGTGTACAAAAATCATTATTGTCCCAAAAACAACACGCCAACAAGCGTACAAAAAAAAAAAAAGCAACAAGTAGTTTAATTTTAGAAGCACGGTGGGTCTATAAAAAGTACAGAGTAAATCTAAGGAGGATGCCAAATGCCTTGCACTGTGTCGTGTGGTTCTAGCTGGGGCTTAACGGGTCTTTTCATGCTTTAGTGAAAGTAGGCAAAAAACCACAGGTCCCAGACCACATGACCACAGGCCCTGCCTGTGCCGAAAGCAGGCCCATGATTGCAGATCAGTGTCTGGTCTTGATTTATCGTCAGAAACATTTCACAATTAGGAAATCATATCTGCTGCGAAACCTTTTATGTAACATTTCTGCCCTGACATTCACCACACAACCACAATTGGACAATTAGGTCTTCTGGGCCTACTCTGCAAACGCCTTTGAGAGTTTGTGAAGACTATGAGTAGTCACCGCAAATGCTAAGTTGTTGGTGGGAAACTATAAAAATTCAGTCTAAGTTGCAAGGGGACTGAAGAGCATAATAATAGGCCTCGCTCAGGCGAACAGGAACTTCTCATAACTGCCGACACATTAATGAGAGCATAAAGAGGCAGACGTGCAGAGAAACTGGTTCAAACGAGTGGTTAAACTGATGTAAGCAGTGTTGCGTGATGGTGCGAGCCAAGGTGTTCCGACAACACCCACGTGCAAAATTCTTCTCAGCACTCGAACTTGAACTCTTTGGCCGTGTGAAATGGCTGGGCTTGTTGTTTTACAGTAAAAGCCAACACGCAGGGGAAGAAAAAAACTATGTGCTGTGATGTCCATCATGTTGTTTACCTCCTCCACGCAACAAGAGCAATGATGTCACTACAGTCCAATGAGAGTAAAGATTCACAGGCCAACTGGCGAGGTGTTGGGTCTCATTACAGATCGACTCATGCTGCATTGACACAGGCCTCTGACCTACTTAACTATACCTGAGCACATGACACAACTCCTACATTTTCACAATAAAGAGATACAACTAACTGACAGAACAACATTTAAGCAGTGATTCATCATTCACCTATTGTTGTTTAAACACTGACCCTCATCAGCTTTTTTCTGATCCAAATGCAGAACTGAATTCTGTAAACAGTGGGTGTATGTGTGAAAAGGGGAATAAAAATAATGTGTTGATGAAAAGTAGCTGAGAAGTGCTGCATGTGGAGCTGTTACTAATCAATGGCAAAATTCATATGACAGTGTAATAATAGGAAATTATTTTTAAATGATGTCTTAGATACAGTTTATCATTTTTAATAAGGGTAGTGAAAATATTTTAGCAGCACAATCTCACCATGAACATAATGTAGAAGCCAAACTGTTATGAATATGTGACATAAGTGAGCAATCTGTTGGTGAAGACTATGATGCAGTTGAAGGCCCTGGAAAAAGCTAGTGAAAGGATTTTGGCTGACAGGTTGCAACTAGAGATTATTTTTATTATCAATTCCCCCACCAAATAATCCACAAACAATTTAGTTAATAAACGGTTGGTCAGTCCAAATACAGTGGAACCTCGGTTTTCGTGATTAATCCGTTCGAAAAAGTCAGATGAAAACCAAATGTACGAAAACCAAATATTTCCCATAAGAAATAATGTAAATGCAATTAATCCGTTCCAGACACCCAAAAATATTAACAAAAAATACATTTTATAGAGAATAACTATATTTTTACATACAGAAAACAATGGGAAATTAATATAAATGACTAATGAAATGGATAAATTAACATTTAACATCACTTTTACCTTTATTGAAGACTCTTGCTGGCATATAGAAGACCGTGAGGAGGGGAGAGGGAGGAGGAGAGGTTTTGTTTGGAAGGGGAATCCCCCTCCATAAGGACTTCATGTATCAAGGCCCAATCTGGGGTTACTTCCCTTCACTCATTTCTTCCGGGAAATGAGTGGCCAAGTCATGCAGGCAGGCGGACAAGTTTGGTACGGACTAATGACGCTGAACCGACCAATCAACTGTATGAAAACCGAGCGGATGTACGAAAACTGGGACAACATTTCGACAAAAAAAGTCGTCAAAAAGCGAATCATATGAAAAGTAGGGCATACAAAAACCGAGGTTCCACTGTACCCACATTTAACACTGAGGATCAAACCTGAAACCTGCAAATGTTCTGGCCTTTTTCTTAAATGAATGCCTTAAACAACTGATCAGTTACCAAAATTATAAGTAATTAATCATTTTGGCATTGACACTTCAGTGGTACTTAGTCCTACAGTGATTAAGGCTGTATAAAAATATCAATTTTCCAATTAACTGTGATTCTTATAGGCATGATTCAATATTGATTCCTGAAATCACAAGATCAATCTCTGCATTTACAGATTTTCTCAGTAAACATACAACTTACACTAAATGTTAAGTGTTTGCAGAGATTTCTTGATGTCGATGGTTCAGTTTGAGCTGCATGATGTGTAAGATGTTCTCTAACAACTTGTTACAATGCGAGGTAGATAATAGCTGGCTATATTAGCTGCAGTGAGTCAAAACAGGCCATAAATGAAAGTGAATAGTTAGTCTATGAGGCTGCACCGCACTTTACGGACGGTCATGACTCAGGCTGATGAGCTGACTGTGGCTAACTCTTAGTGGACCAAGAGATCCCGTGTACGAAAGGGACAGACTGACAAACCTAGATCTGCAAACTGATCTAAGCTCTTTTTTTGCTTCATTGAAAAGATATTATCTCTGGTTATGAGATGTGAGGCCGTGGAAGTCAAGAGAACAGTGTGTATTCTTGTGGAGGAGCTAACGCTAGCCAGCAGCCACTTTCAGGTATCAGACTGATGTCAACACAGACAGTGCAGATAAATCAGTTTCTGTCCTGTCTGTGATCAAACTGATCATTAGAGTGGACACCCAAATTGAAGCATATGCTGCTGTATGCTCAGTGTGGGATAGCATTTATTTTTCAAATTATGCAGAATGAATGGTGCAGGGTTTTTTTTTTTATTATTCCTGCGCAACTGTTTTACACATGTAGCTAAAAAGTCTAGATGTGTTGTGTTTTAGTAGTTTTGTATTTGCCAAGAAAAATAAATCCTCGATCCAAAATATTATAATCAGGAAATGTTTCTATAATTTAGTCTGTGAATCGAATCGAAATGGAGTTGAAGTCGAACTGAACTGAGAAATCAATATCCAGCCCTAATTGTCACACTATTATTAATGATAGCTATAAGGGGGAAGTCAGCCTATCAATAAAGTAACTGAATAAAACTAATGAGCTGCCAGCTGAGCCTATAGACCATTATGAGTCATTAAAAAATGTCGACTATTCAGTGAGTGTATTTTCAACATTATTCCCATAACAAATTATATGAATACCTGAGTGTCTGATATGTTTGGATCCCCCTCTGTCAGCCATGCAGGACCGCCATTTGTTTTATCACGTGACAATGCTTTTGTTTGCAGATGGTGTGACTCGAGTTCTATCGTCAATAATACCAGATGTCAATTATGCATGAGTGCTAGGTAATTATAACAAATATAGAGTGCTTACTTCTTTGGCAGTGGTTCTGTGTCCAGCAGCGTTCACTGAAGTGTCCGTTGATTGTGGTCGTCTGGCAGGTGGCCTTTCCGACAGCTGTCCCTGGACACACGTCTCCACACTCTCTGTCGTTCTTGTTAGCCATGATGTAGTTGTCCTCGACCGAGTCCAGGATCTTGGACCAGTCCAGAGTGGAGAGATAGCAGAGATCAGGGTTCTTCTCAAGTCTCACAGCTCCTCTGGTGATGTTCATCAAGCTGTGGAGGCCGATCTCTCGCAGCTGTAGCATCTCAAACACCACTAGGGCATAGTTGAAGAACAAGTGGTTGCCTCTGATAACTGTTAGGTTGGGGAAGAGGTCGCTCAGGCTCTCCAGGCCATACACTCTGAAGAGCAACAGGTAGTCGGTGATCACTGTCAGCCTGGGGAAACTGAGGCCCCGGAAGTCCTCGGGCTTGGTCCTGAACATGAGTAAGATCTTCAGGTGGCCTTCAATCACAGTGCAGTTCTGGAGCGTCTGCAGGTTGGTCACATTGTTCCGGATGTCCTTGCTAGGACAAACTGAGAAGACATGACAGAAAATACTCAGGTTATTTAGAAACTAGCTACCTTCATGCATGACTCACAAACATTTATGAAATAAACTCTTGGACATGGAAGGGAAAAAAAAAAGAATTTATCTTTTGCAGCTGTCGACAGATTACAACTGCTGAAAGTGGCTGATGTGTTAGGCAAGATGTCTGCTCTGTAAACTGGAAAAATAGGGTCAGAGAGGTCAGACACAGTCTCAGTGAAGAGAATAAATATAGATCTCTTTGTAATTAGAGGGAATATTTTACTGAAAAGTATGTGGGCATGTCTCTGCCTCTGATCAGACCATCGTCACTGACATTTTGTCCAGTAACAAAGTCAAATATGGAGTGCTGCCATCAGAGTGAGGCTGTGCTCATGCTTGGTTACGCTGTGTTGATTTGTGGAGCTGTTTCTAAAACTCAAGACCATAAAAACAAAAAATATTTGTCTGTGAGGGAGACTGAACTGTGTATTGCACCAGTAGTAGATTTGTGGCTTTGTCAGTTCTGACCCAGACATTTGATCCAGTTTGATGAGAAATTCTTTAACTATGCTGTTGCACAGACAGGTTACATTTTCACCGTCTCAGTCACTTCAAATCCTATTGGACCACAATGATGTAATACAAGAATTGACTGTAGGACTAGAAATTAGATCAATTATCTGTCAATTATTTCTTAACTATTTGGGCTAATGAAGATCAGAAAAAAGTCAATTATGAGATCACACAGTGATGCCTTCAAATTACTTGTTTTGCTTGACTAACACTCCAAAATTCAGTAATATTAAATTTACAGTGATATATAAAAGAGACAAACAGCAAATCCTCACATGTGAGAAGCCCCCCACCACTGCTATACAGACCCATTAGCCCTTTAGTGTGCCTTAATGGTTTTTCTGTGTCCCTTTATTGTAGTCTTACAACTCTGTTTTGTATCGCTTTTTGGTAGTTTTGCATCTCATTTAGATAGCTCTGTCTCTATGCAGTCAATTTCTCTCTCTTTATTTTCATTTTTTCTCTCTTTGGTCTCACTGTGATGGTTTTTCAACTCTTTGTGGTGATTCTGTAACTGCCTGATCATTTTGAGTCTGTTTGTTTTGCAACTATTGGTAGACTTGTAACTGAGTTCTGTAACTTTCAAACAAGAAATATTAGAGAAGCTCTGACCCAGGGCCCCTAACTCAGGCCTTGGCCCATTTGGTAATCCATCAATGGCTATATTGCAGCTGTGAATATGATGTAGTGATCTTGAAACCTCCTGCAAAATATATTAAAGACTATTACACTCAACAGTAATAAGAATTTCTCAACTCTCTCTTCTGGAAATTAACCAAGCTCTTAAACACATGCTTCGTGTGACAAAACATAAGTAATGATGGTCGTAAAGACGTCTTCCTCTGCAGGTGCATCATGGGATACTCCAGCCTGACTTTTACAGACCACAAGTCATGGCCACAGCTGGAGGACTGCTGTCTGGTGAGAGGACTGCATTTGTTTTTTTATCAAGCAACCCACCACTGAACTGGGCGCATCAGGCTGACTGATTTGCCATGTGGGGGAAGAGTTATAACAGCTAGGCGTGCCCCTCTTCATGGGTGCAGCTCATTTTACACCTTCTGTTTTACATAACAGCACAAGACAACCGACGCACAAACAGGGTCCAATCACTGAGTGTCCAAACAAGACACTTTTCAGTCCATGACCTTAACCAGAAAGCTAACGCTGCAGCAGTTCTCTTGAATTCAACTTTGAGGATTGTTTAAAATACAAGCAAACTGTCCTAACACAGGCTTAAAAGGCAGCCTATTAAAATCACTTTTCTCCTTATAAGCCACATTACTCCACATTAAACCTTTCTTATCAAACTGTTGGGTCTGCTGTAGATCTAACAGAGAACACATTCCAGCTACAAACAGCCTCCCTCTTTCTCATACAAGACCTCACACAAACTGAACCACTTCAATGAACAAAGATGGCCGAAGTGGGGTAGTCACAGTAAAGTCAACCAGCAGTGCACTGAGTGACCCTGTGGAGCAGGCGAATTACAGTGTGGTGAGTCCAGGCTCCTATCAGTGTACACTTTCAGCCAGGACAGTATTTTTAGTGCAACATTCCCAATAGAGAATCTAATACACTCCTGCCGTACTGATAGCGGCTCACATTGGAAACTGGGATTTTTGAACGACAGCAGAGGGAGAACTAGCCGCGCTGACTTCTCCCTGTGTGAACACCTAGTCCATGAACAAGATTTTGGCAGATGTAGGAACTTAAATGAGCACTAAAACCAAGTCTGCGACAACAACTCTAGCAAAACAAACCAGAGTGCGCTCCAGAATTTAAATCCTCCCTGCATTGTTGAGAGAGAGAAGAACTAGGAGACGTCACAAAGGTTACTATGGCAACCAGTCCAGCTCCAGCTCTACCTACCTACTTTGAGCCAGACAGCCTGAAAACAGCCATGGTGATCTGAATCATCAATTAGAGCTGTTTAAAGGGCAGACTGTCATTGGCCAATGCCATTAGAGTCTGTCCATCTCTATCACTTCCTGCTTCTCTGAGATGAATTGTCAAATCAGTGTTTTACCTAAGGCACCGAAATGCATTACAACAGCATTTAAAAACACAATGACCTGGTTGCTTCAGGTAAATAATCATTAAAAGGTCACATAAGACCAACATTATCCTTTAACCTTAAGCTCCATTTACACAGAATCAGAATACAATCTGTGTCTGTATATGTTTTCTAAAAAAAGAATAAAAATGCACAGTATTAGAACTGTAACAAATCTAGTTAATTAATAGGTAAGTTGTTGGAAAAAAAATCTGCAACTATTCTGAAAATCTTAAGTTGTTTCACTCATTTTTTTTTAATGCATGGGTAGTAACATTCTCTTTTACTCTTAGAGGACGTAGTGCTTTGCATTGTCATAACAGTGTAAACAGTCTCTCTTTGGACCTTTGATTGCACAAAAGTAATTAGAAGGTTCTAGGAAAGTCTGAAGAGTAATTTTTCACATTTCATAAATGTGACTGGAAAAGCAATTAATCAATAATGAAAATAATCATTAGTTGTAGTCCTACACATTTGGGCTTCAGCTCAATTATTTTCATAATCAGTTAGTAAGCCTTTTTTTTTTGGTAAAACATGACTAATCATTGCAGCTTGCGGCATATGGATCCCTCTAAAGGTGGTCTGGTTCACACTACGATCAGACCACTGACAAAATTCAACCACTTGAAAAGTAAATCCATACAACTTGATCACCCACAAGATGAAAATATCAACTGACTACTGTCACCCTACTTATGCATTTTCCATGTCGCAATAAAGAAGATAAGATGCAAACAAGACTACATAATTGATACTAAAAGTAAAAGCAGTCAGCATGTCAGTGATGACATGTCGCTGTCCTGATAATAAATCCAGATAGATACCATTGTGAATGCCTGATGTAAATCATCAGGTCACAAGAATAACCTGAATTTCAATCAACAGCATTAAGGAAGAGCACAAATACTGTACATGTCTATACTAAAGGGAGTCACTTCTACACGCCCTGTCTGCTGCACGCTCAGTGACACAGGGTACTACAGCTGCATCAGCAGCTTCTGATCTTATGAAGGAGGTGTATGAAGGGGAGGCAGGAGGGCTACAGGTTGTTAGGCTAATGGTGTAAATTATTGCTGGGTCTTGCAAAGAACAGAGACCTCAAAGAGCATGCAGGAACACAAACACTCAGTAATTGCAACACTTCTCTTTACAAGGCTTCTCTGTTCTGTCGCCTCCCAGCCCAGATTAAAACTAAACACAGATCTACAAGATGACACACGGGTATACTGTAAACACTGAACACAACTTTGAATAACACTGCCTCCACGCTCTCATTTTAAAAGAAATAACGGCATATAATACAAAACATATGCCTATTTCAAAAACGTAACGTCAAAGGCAAGCAAGCTGAAATTCTAACTGTTTCAGGCTATGTTTCATATGTCAGCCTAAACATTTAGCTTTAAAAGGCTAACAACGGCACTTAGAGTTAATTAAGAGTTTTGTCATCTGCCCAGTTTTAAATGTTACAGTAGTTAGAAAATGGCATTACATACAACGACATACAACTTTTCTTAAGAGTCAATAGATTCTCCTATAAATGTCTTGTAAGCAGGCACAGGGGGATGTCAGATGTGCCAGCTGTTTGGTTGGAGTGACACAGCGAGCGCACCCCATTAACAATACGATAGTGTAACTGACCTGGGATTAAAATTAAACCAATGTAAGTCAGGCCTCAGTCTTTAAATGGAGTGCAATGGTGTAAGAGAGATAGACTATAAACCACTAAGTTCCCTCTTGGGAATGTGTGGTGTGTATCCTGTGAAAAAATGGCTCTGGACCAAAGATCATTTGTGACGCAGCTACTCACCATCTGCCCCCCCCCCTTCCCCTTACTCTCTCTGTTGGTTGGCAAGACAATCAGTTTTATATATGTATGTGCACACAAATCACAAAGGTGCCTTTTTCATTTTAAATGAAAACCGTGTGAGACAGCAGAGTAGTTTGACACTAAAATGGCAAGTGGTCACACTGCAGCTAGTGTAAGCCTCTGTTCACAGGATTCATAGAAGATTTTTAAAAAAAAGTCTGTGGCCACTGAGGTCACTGTTGTCAAGGGGATAATTATTAGCTCTGCAGCATGACAGCATGACAACAAGCACGTTGCTCTTACAACAGGGACACAGTGTCAGTGGTAGAAAGATCTGAGACAAAAGGCTTTCTTGTCAGATGTCTGGTGGAAGTGAAGGGTGCAGGTGTGTCACTGTTACCAGTCTGCGTTTAATTTCCAAAGTCGAACCTGTCAACCAGCATAGATGGCCATTGTTGATGATGACAAGTGCAAAAATTCTTCTATTGTACACATGTCAAAATGCACTCGTGACTTTCATGCTTGAGACAGCAGCAGTGGTTTAGGGCAGAGTGTTTTTGGAGAACTAGTTGGGAGGTGACAGTTTCATCACCTTACAACTGCTCTCCTTGTTGGGAGGCATAAATCAAGGGCGCCAAGTTCTTGGCTTGCTGCCTGCCTATGAGACCTGCTAGAGAGGTACAGTACTAAACTGGCTGCTGCTGACGTCATGGCAAGCCACCGCTGTTTGACACTTGATAAAGTCATATCGTGGCACCACAACAGGCTGTAGTCTGACAAGCAAACCACCTGAGACCACAGTGTGCTACCTGAAATGAACCAAGCTGGAAGTTAACCCCAGGTTGAGGCTCTAATGGTTTACCATTACATTCAAGTCACAGAGCTAAGCATCTGGTTTTATAAAAAATAAAATAACTGGTGATGTTCTGAAGGTAGTTTCAGAATTGTTAAAACTCAGACTCTAATCACATGAATGCAAAAATATTCTGTCTGATAAGTGATAAAAAATATTTTTAATCGATTTCCAAAGTTGCAACTGTTTTCTATCCAGCTGGTGATAAATGAGGTGACAATGTGCTCACTTGTTTTGTACAACACAACAAACAGAAGCATGTTATTTTGTATATAAATAAGATGCAGCATCAATATAATGAAATATAACTGATGATAAAACTTTTCAGTTGAATTAACTTTATTGCCAAGACAACAAATGTTGTTAGGAGCTGGCCTAGACGAGCTCACAAAAACAATCACCACAAACTAAAAACAAAATGTGCCTTAAAATGTCAGTACTTTACCCTTAAAGAGAGAATAGCAAAGTAGTCAAATAACCTTTAAAATGTTTCTTGTACAAATTCAGTACAAGGATGTCATTTCCAGCTAATGTCTTGATAGAGAACAGGGGTGCAACTTGAGAATCAGCTTAAATCATTTTCCTGCAGCATATGAAAGTTTTTACTTAGGTGGGTAGTACATGCCTTCACAACAGCATTAGGTATTTGTAATGGCTACTACTGGGTACATATGGCTTATTTACAGCTCTAAAATGGTCAAATGGCAGTCGATGGTAAATAAAAATGAATCAATTCTCACTCCCACTGAACATTAGTTTTCACAATTAATTGAATGTTTCCGTAACGCTGAGCTGGAATGCAACCAACAAGTAGCTCAGACGACGCCCTGACTTCCACACTGGTCGGTCCAGCTTATGAAATAGGCGAATGTGAGGCCCAGGTTCCCTTGTGTGGTTCACTCTCCCGTCTGAGAGGAACGGGAGGGGCAAAGGGGCTGCAGCGCAATTACACAACCTACTTTTGATTTATGTCATAAAATTCTTGCTCAAACTGGTTTGCTGACATTGCTCCATTCGCCCATCGCTACAATCTGATGAAGGGTGAGAGAGCCTGGGCTTTTCTTTTTGTTCAGAGTGCCTCTTAAGTCCAGCTTGTAGCAGTCAGAGTTTTAGAGCTACTACAAACTGAGTACATACAGAGGACAAACTTCTTATACTGGGCAGAGGAGGAGGAGGAGCTCCTGTCAATCTGTCTTAGAAATAATGAAACACTTTGTAGTGTTAATATGTCAACATGACCTTGAAGAACAGAAATAATATTGTGATACAAGCATCTGTAAAGGCTTGTTATATTTTGCAACTGTGACTGCAAACCTAAAGTAATCCATCTGGACTGATCTTTAAAATCAAAGATTTGAAAGAAATATTTAGAGATAATAATAAAAATCTTTTTTATACATGTCGATCACGCTATAAAACAACAATTAACATTTCCAAATAATTACATAAAAGATAGCTTGAAGGTGGTGCTGCAATAATTAATCAAATAATTTATGAATTGCCAACATATCTGATAATCAATAGTTCTATCCGCTGTGACAGCTGAACATGTGTCCGAATGAGAGAAACGTATATGAGACAAAGTCAGAAAGCTGATTTTCTTCCACAGACAGAGGTAGATTGTACAGTCTCCCAGGTCCTGTAAGATCCCCTTCTCCTCAGCCTCTCCGCCTGTAAACAAACCGTGCCAGTGAGCGACATGGGCTCCAGGGGAAATACGGACTGGAGCTTATTGGATTACACAGTGTCAGGGGGCAAAAAGTAATGCAGTTATCAGTCCTACATTGATCAGTTTTAGACGACTGCTACTGATTTATTGTGATTGTTTCAGTTTCATAAATAAGTGAATTAGCTGTTTTGCTTGATCTTAAATTATAATATGTGACATTCAATGGCACTGCCTTGTGCTACATGATACTGTAACAAGCATTTAACATTATTCTCTGACCAAAGGATTAATCGATTAATCAGGAAAATACCCAGTAGGTTGAGCAGTATTGAAAATTATCCTTAGCTGTGAGCCTACTTTAAAAATGACTTTATTAATAAACATAATCAACATTTTTTCAGTACAACTCTCACAGTACAGTAATGACAAACAGACTGAGCACAAGCCAATGTTTTTCCAACTGAGCTAAATATTATTTCAATAGGTTACATGTGCTACATGGGAGCTGTTTATAGACAAATAAGTTTGGAAACTCTTCATCCCTGCTGAATCATAGGATTAAATAAAAACTAAAACATTTCCTGGTGCGTGGGACATTTACCAGACCGGCCTCTGGTGTTCTCATCTATAAAATGCACACTTAAAAGCAAGTATTCCCAAAGCTTTGCCATACATTTCCTCATAAATATAACCAATATACACTTCCAGTAAAGGATTATAAAAGTGTACAACAGTGAGTATCATTGGGGTGTTTAAGAGATATGAGTCACTGCAAATGTGTTCACTCATTCATTCTTATCATCGGGTTTGCTGGCAGGTGAATATAAGAGGACTGACAGGAGATGTAAAGACGGATTACTGTCGCATTCCTTTTTGGACCACAGCGACAAACCGAGGCTTTTCAATCTACAAAAACAGCCAAATAATTTCTCTAAATTCTTCTTACTTATTTGGGACAAAACATTTTGTTTACAGTTCCTGCAGGCTCAAATAGCTGATAAGTGTTAACCTTTGTCCCTTCAATGCAGTGACCGTCTACAACTTGCTGCCTACGTGCCTTCATCAAACAACCATCAATAACAACACGCACAAAAACTTGGTCTAACGTTACTGCAGCCGGATATCTGCGCTGATCACTAATACTGTATCTTTACATTATTTCTGATCATGTTTTTCTCCATTATTGATGTTTGTTTAACTGCGAAAAACTATTGTATATAGTCTAGAATTTGTAGGCAGTGTCCCCTCATAATTCTTCTAACAGTTATTTCGGTCCTAAATAACTAAATAATCCTATGTCTATCAAAATACAGGAATTAAAAATAACTTAATCAATTTACCTATTTTATCGGCAAAAGCATAAAATGTGTAAAACCTTTCAATTTTCAGTGTTAATCGTCTTAACCGCAATCGACAGTTTTGGACAGTCTGACATTTTAAAATAAATACGTGTAAAATTATATCTGGGGCCTTAATGTTTTACAAAATTTCGGATTTCTTATAATGTAGTTGCAAAGGGCAATCGGACAATGACATTTTGCATAATTAAAATATAAATATGAGCAATGCTAAAATGTGACAGTTAGCGTTACTTACTCTCTCCACTCGCTCGATGACAGCTCATCACAAAGCAGACAGCGGTCAAAACAAGACCCAAACACAAAGTCCGGAGACACATAACTGATTCGGGATTAGACCCCATCCAGCACTATTCCAAGTCAAACACACAATAATCCTTGACGAGGATGACAGTTCACACTGCAAGAGAAATGCCTTAGGAAGCTGGTTTGGTTTTGCTACGTGGGCCAACAGGTAAACAAAAATAAATAAAAGACATCCCGGAAGATGGGCGGGGGCACGAGACCAACGTGTTCAATCAAACACGAGCTAATGCTCCTGCTAAAGTTAGCCACCTCACGGAAAAGCACGCTGAAGAAACAACAGCACGGGGCAGGGATGCTCTGTCTGTGTCTTTAAATGCACTGGTTAGTGAAATTGGCCCAGCTGAGTTTGTATGTACTGGAAAAGAAAGAAAAAAAATACAACTTGTTGGCCCAACAGAAGCTAATAACGTTACAGCTAGCAGCTAAGCTAGCTAGCTGCTTCGACTGGCTCCTCCACCAAAGTCCAGGCCACAAGTGAAGTTTGCGCTGCTTATCACCAGCTCTCTCAATTATAACTTTAATAAAACCCACGCATGTACACACAGCTGTAATGCATCTTCTTTTAAATAAAAGAAAAAAGTTGCATTCATAAAAATCTCCGTAAAGGCGACAGTTAACTTAATTTCAGGTGGATTTTGGAGCCCTTTGCTACTGAGTCGCTGGTTGTGGCATGCGTGGCGTAACGTTAGCGCGTCTTTCGTAAAATCCTCTCAAGTCTTCCACCGAGAAGAAAACACTACATTTGACTTGCTACACTTGTGAAATACGGTGATATTTTCCGACCAGTTGGCTAGCTCCTAAATGAGAACTCTTTCATTTCAGTGAGACTCTGACAAGCTGACAGACGTGACTCCGTCGTGCTTCTGCAGCGCTTGCGCTCTCTATTTTGATTCGGGAATAAAAAATAAAAACTGCCTCTGCTCCACGTTGTGATCGCGTTCCGCACAGCTATCCGCTGTGACAGCTGAACATGTGTCCGAATGAGAGAAACGTATATGAGACAAAGTCAGAAAGCTGATTTTCTTCCACAGACAGAGGTAGATTGTACAGTCTCCCAGGTCCTGTAAGATCCCCTTCTCCTCAGCCTCTCCGCCTGTAAACAAACCGTGCCAGTGAGCGACATGGGCTCCAGGGGAAATACGGACTGGAGCTTATTGGATTACACAGTGTCAGGGGGCAAAAAGTAATGCAGTTATCAGTCCTACATTGATCAGTTTTAGACGACTGCTACTGATTTATTGTGATTGTTTCAGTTTCATAAATAAGTGAATTAGCTGTTTTGCTTGATCTTAAATTATAATATGTGACATTCAATGGCACTGCCTTGTGCTACATGATACTGTAACAAGCATTTAACATTATTCTCTGACCAAAGGCTTAATCGATTAATCGGGAAAATACCCAGTAGGTTGAGCAGTATTGAAAATGATCCTTAGCTGTGAGCCTACTTTAAAAATGACTTTATTAATAAACATAATCAACATTTTTTCAGTACAGCTTATTGGATTACACAGTGTCAGGGGGCGAAAATTTAATGCAGTTACCAGTCCTACATTGATCAGTTTTAGATGACTGCGACTGATTTGTTGTTATACACTACCAGTCAAAAGTATGGACACACTATCCCACTGAATTAAATGGGAAAGCCTGTCCAAACCACTGGTCGGTAGAGTACACTAAATGCATTCAAAAAACCAAGTTTATTTACAGTGGTGGTCTACCCAGATTCTTTACTCAAGTAAAAGTAACAATACCGCAGTGTAAAAATACTTTGTTACAAGTAAAACTCCTACGTTAAGAAAGTACGTAAATTTGCGGATTCCTTTTGGGCCTGTTTATATGCTTATAATTTGATTTCCTTTACATTCTGCTGGCTAGCTTGTGAAATTTCCACCAGAAATCAACAACCCTATGGTTATAGTGGGCTGTTGTATTATTAATTTGATTATGAAAAGTAAGTAGTAACTGAAGTCATCAAATAAATGTAGTGGAGTAAAAATTACAATATTTGACTGAAATATAGTGAAGTTAAAGTATGAAGTAGAAGAAATTAAAAAGACTTGTAAAGTAGCCTACAGATTCTTCTAACTTGTACTTAAGTAGAGTACTTGAGTAAATATATTTACTTTCCACCATTGTTTATTTGTATAGCACCTTCAACATCAAGATTACATTGTATGTGTACATACACTTGGCCTATAAAGCTGATTCTGGTTCTAAGAAAGATGATTACAATCAGTGCAGTATATGAATAAATAGTTCCATGTTTAACTTATAATAAAATGCAGTAGCAAACCTTCATTTTAAAGAACTGAAAGTTGTAGCGGGTCTGAAGTTTTCTGGGAGTCTGTTACAGATGATGAAGGCCTTCAAAGGGCAAACTAAGGTGGGTTGTCTATGAGCAAACCCAAAAACCCATCTAGAAAAATATATACATTGAAATGAAGAGTTGAAATACACAGTGATCTATAACAATGGTCAGTCTATAGCTGGCTAATGAAGTGAAACACTGCAAAGGTGTGTTATATATATATATATTTTAAAATAGAGCAGTAGTCAAAATTACAGTTGATACGGTTTTATATGTCCGGTCACATTTGGTCCTGTTGTTTATGTTGGAAAATGAAGAAGACTTATTTTAGGAGCTGAGGGGAAAAGATGGGGAAGGAAATTTGGTGTGTGATTCAGCCATTGTTTAAAATCAGAACTCATTTTTCCATTTGATCCTGTGATGTTCTCACACTCAGACAGAGAAATGGAAAAACGAGATTACGTATTTCACACAGTGTTCATAAATAAGCCCCCAGAGGCTGAGAATATGAGAGATTGTTCTTCCTGGCATGTTTGTGTACAGATGCAGTTGTGCCACAATACTGCAGTATCTGTCACCACTGCCTATTCACTACCTGTTTACATCATCCATCAAAGCAGCAGCATGTTTGGTGCAAAATGATCCGGTCCTGTTGTTTATTGTACTAAAATTGATCTTACTGGAATACTACAAAAGCTGCTATTACGGTATTTCTGTGGCAGCTGTGTCTCTGGCAGGCACATTCAATCATCAGTTTATTGTGAAATATGGCTGAGATTTGTGTGTAAAACGGTCAGGTGTTGGGGATGTACACCAGCCAGTATCTGCTATTGATGCAGGCATTGATTCAATGGGAAACATGAAACCAGAGAGCATTTCGTTAGCAGTAGGTAATCAGAGTTATTTACCACAGTGAGTAATGAGTGGATCACTGAGACCCTCGGGTGTGCACAACAACACATCTGAAATGGTTGAAGGAAAACGGAGGCAAAGCCTTTCAACAGGCATCACCTACAAGGCAACAAGCAGGGGGAGAAGGGTTACCACTGCACAAAAGTAGTTGTAGCTACTGAGCCACTTGGAGCATCACACATTTCAGGAATATCTTGCGTTATAGGGGAATAAAAGCTAAATTGCATGACTGTGAATAACCCTGTATTGAGTGTGCAGTCAGTAGGAGTGAGGTGCTCTAATACGAACAAAGCTAAAGATAAAATGAGTGACTGGATAAAGCCATGTCCCACATCCCACTCATGAGTTACACACTATTTTACACCAATAAAAAAACATTACAAATGTTTTCCTTTGTGTTGGTTGTATGGGCTTATTAGCACATAACAACTGGGGACATGCAATCATTCAGTATTAATGATAATAGCAATAATATTCACATTTTATTATCGCATATAGCACTATTCAAAACATTCTCAAAGTACTATCAATCAATCAATCAGTTAAAACATAAATAAAAAATCATTTTCTAAAGTTTTTGCATTGCATGTCCTGTAGGACAAATGTTTGGACATTTATGCTTTTTTACTTCCTTTAAAACATCTTATTCTCTTCTTTTAGTTCTAGGTATTTAAAACAGAGTGTTCATCAACAATCGTTGTTGTTTTAAAATGTCATAGAGCTACTTAATCTTGTTTCCTAAAATTATTTTTAGTAATGTAAGATGAAGCCATTTTCAGTACATTTCATCATTAGTTTACACCAGGGTGCCCATGGAGCAGCGTATGCACCCTGCTTTGCTATTTTGGTCAGAGTAGGGTCATTATGACTCCGAACTATTGATGTGTTATTGAGGCTAAGATGAACAAAAAAACAGATGAGTCATAAACACATGATCTAAATGCTGACATGCCTGTTGCTGGGGAATGAAATGGGGTGGTTTCGTTGAGCTGTGTCTGCTGGGGTCAGGTTTGTTGGACTGCTGAGAGTGGAGCAGTCCCACTGGACCCTGTGCACAACCAGTGCAAGTGAAAGGTGGAGGGGGTGACCAGTTTTCTGTGTGTAAAGTTTTAATTTTGTAAAGCAGCAAATAACTGCAGCTGTCAAATAAACATAGTGGAGTAAAATGCACAGTGTTTCAATCTGATATACACCGATCAGCCGTAACATTATGACCACTGACAGGTGAAGTGAATAATATTAATATTGATTACTTCATTACAATGACATCTGATACATTAAGCAGCAACTGAACATTCAGTCCTCAAAGTTGACATGTTGGAAGCAGAAAAAACGGGCAAGTGTTAAAGGTCTGTGACTTTGACAAGAGCCAAATGGTGATGGCCAGATGACTGGGTCAGAGCATCTCCCAGACTGCAGGTCTTGTTGGGTGTTCCTGGTCTGCAGTGGTTAGTACCAACCAACTGCCACAGCGTCTCCTCTGTGTTTGTGGTATTAGGCAGATGGCCATAATGTTATGGCTGATCGGTGTACAGTACCTCACTGCTATAGTGTAAATGTAGGTACTCTCCATCACTGATAAGCAGCATGTTAATGTAGCTTGCTGAAATGGAACTATTTTCAGATACTTTATACTGTATACTGTACTACGAGCTAGTTTGAGCTATAAAAATGCCACATATTCAAAAGGTTAATCACATGCCTTGTATGTCAGACCTTCATCTGTATCTTAAGTAATTAGTAACTAGATGTCCTTTAAATGTTGTGTAGTAAAAAGTACAGTGGAACACAATGGAGTGCACATAAAGATGCTCAGGTAAAGTGCAACTATGTCAATACTGTATTTAAGTACAGTAAATGAGTAAACTTTCCTCTACTGATGTTAGATCAGTTTGCAAAGCATGTTGCAGTGTTTTCATTGTAATGTATTTTTTCTACTGTTCCTGATATTCACCAGTTTCACTTCATTTCTCTGGTGCCTGAAAATCAATTAACAGGCTCATTAATCTTGCTTGAATTGCACGAAACACCGTTGCATTATTGTTGGGTGTTAATGCAGTACAGACCTTTGACAGCAAGCTATATTAAAATATCATTACCACACAGCAATAATGTAATACTGACAAAAAGGCTTGATGGACTGCAGAGCTTAAGCATCAGAAAATGTAAATAGATTATCAGACAGCACAAAAATTAAGGGAAACCAGTGGATGACTGAAAAAGTAACTAAAACAATAAATCAACATCTGAACATTAAAACATGGTCAGAAAATCTGTACACAATTTGCAGGTAATGTGCCAAAAACTTGCAAACATACTGGTATGCTCCTAAACCCACAAACAAAGCATATACTAAATACTTTAAAGAATTGGTTCTTATTTTCCAAAGCACAACATGTGTTTAGACTGATTTATTCCAGCAGGCATGGTTATTCCATTCACTTTCCTGAGGTATGAATATCACCGTGACAAGACCTGAAACTGGCTGGAACAATTCACCATTCGGTTTCCTGTCAAAGTGACTTGTAGCTGTGTTGTGTGGTAACACTGCTTGTGACAGGAACTCCTCAAGGAAACTTAAACATCCGATATTTACATATTGGGTGTCCAAAAGTATTACTTTTATAAGCAGTGTTTCCAGAAATCATATCCAAAAGTTGAACAATAAGCAAACATGGGTGTCCTGGAAAGGACTATGACTTTGGCATTTGCATCTGAAAAGGCTGCAGTGCAGCAGTCCATTATTAAGTGGTTTACAAATAAAACAAGTAATTGTGGAGTGTGTTTTAGATAAAGATCTAGAAATTAAAGTATTATATGTATTGCAGAGGGTACAGGTACCTGAACAGGTTGCCAGTCTATCACAGGGCTGAAACATAGAGACAGACAACCACTCACATTCACACCTACAGGCATTGCAGAGTTAACCTAACCTGCATGTCTTTGGACATTTGTGAGGAAGCCATAGAAAGGCCCCAGAATCATCTTGTTGTGAGGTGGCAGTGCTAAACACTGCATCACTGTGCTGCCATATCAACGCTCAAACAGGTTAATTGTTTTGGTGAATATTAGCTTCGTCTGCTCAGGGAAATCATTCCTGAAGATTTTACTTTACTTTACTATCCTTGAGGGAAATTGGTTTGCAGGAGGCATATACACATTACCACATATAGCACTTAGCAAACATCAGCTCATATCAATGTATTACAACGCTACATGACTTGTAGCTATAGATTACATTGCACTGCACAAGAACAATCATAAATCAATCACATTGACTTGGGTACAACTTAAAGTGCTCTGCCTGAGGATGGCAGCTATGCTGATGCACAAAAAGTCCCAATCTGTATAATGGTACACTGTGGAAAATGATGCAAAAGTAGATGTGATTTGTGGTTAATGGCCTGACGGATGAAAAACTCACCGGGGTGGTACTTTAGCTGTCACTCACAGCATGGGTTGTTAGTTTATGTTGCATCACTCTCAGTAATGACATCAGTCTCCTCGAAATGATCAGCTCACTGCAGGAAGGGATTCAAGTGCTCTTATATAAACGCTAGATTTTTACACACACATATACATAGTAGGTTGCACCCTGTTTGAACGTGACAGTAAAACCAGCAGGGTCAGGGTTCAGAATGATAAGACTGACTCAATGTGTTATTATTAATACACTGACAAAAACAACCCCAGTACATCAATCTACAGAATCTATAAGATGTGTAGGAGATATTTGAGAGGTAAATACAAGGAATTTAAAACATATTTCTTTGTTAAGTATGGCCTTGGAGAAGAAACTAAGAGTCTTGCATCCAGAGATGTTGAGACCAGATCAGAGGCCCACACCTACTCCAAGGCTTAAAGTCATATGAAGAAACACTGATGATCTGCATATAGAACATGAGAAAACAGGCACAGTGGCAGGGGTCAGTGTAAAACCCAGCTTCACACAGACCTGTTTGACTGAAAGAACAATGAGGTTCACACATGTCATCCCGGGGCTCTTCCTAGACGCCAGCAAGCTGCACTTCACTACCTCAGGAAAAGATGCTCCCGTGCGGCACGGCTGAGTGGGACATCCAGCACTGGGCCCACTTCCCCTTCCCAGCGCATGTATGGGACTCGAGGTGTACAACTCTAAAGATAGATTTCTTCCTGCTGCCGTTTCCAGTTTTTGCAAAGACAATACTTTGAATTTTGAGGCTGTGCTTGATGGATGCACTGAGGTTAATGAACAAACATTTTTAGTAACGGCGCCGTGGACTGCATGTGGCCTCTAGCCAAGTCCGGGGGACCAGTGGAACATGTAAACATTCTTCCACTCTCATGCACCTAATTGAGGCCTGGAAAGTAACTGTGCAATGACAGGGACTTTGCATCACAACACATTCCAGCAGTTCCCCCTAGATAGTCACACGGCCCCATGTATCCCCGACACAAGCACAGATCAAAAACTAAAAGAAAAAAAAAACTAGAGGGGCTCTGGAGCTCACACTTAGGCCTCGAAAGTGATCTGAGCAGCCACCTTCTGTAAAGTGCTCAGAAAAGTTGCTCTTGTTAAAACATGCCCAACCCTTTCCCTGGCAGAGAGCTAAAAATCCTAATGAGGCTGTGTACCTTTAATTTCCAGAAAACTAAAACCTGTTTATAGATCTATCAATAAACTGCAAGCGCTGAAGGTTACAAGTTAAAACACTCCCCCTGCTTTAGATGAGTGTTTTAGATGCTACAAGGTCGATGCCAAACCATGTCTCCAAGTCTTCACATGTACAAACAAAATGATAGTGTGATATAAAACAGAGCCAAGGTGATTGTGTTTCTTACACCATCTACTGGATTAAGCCCACAGTGTGTATATGGCAGTTGGTAATTATCCAAACTCAATTAAAGAACCCATTGTGCTGATGAGCCCGTCAAAACTAAATCCACCGCAGTGGCCACAATGAGCATGGATTATGGGTAAGAGTCTTATCTCTACTATCCCAGGTTAAGACCACATACTGTAGCACCTACTGCTGCTTCCCAGAGGGAAACGCCAGTGAGGCAGAATGCGCAGGTTGCTTCAAGATTATTCTCTCAATGTTCGGGGAAATCTCTCACTTCAGAGAATGTGGATGAGAAGTCCTTGCTGTTTATGTACTCGTTTCTCAAATGCAAGACCAAAAGTGATGCAATTTGTAAAGCTCTCCTGCTGCAGATGGTTTAAAAACATAAAACATAACCCAGGGTAAACACTGTCAAGTTAATAAATTCATTCCACAAATCACCATCTTTTTCAGTCATGTTATGATGCTGGTTTCTGTACGAAGACGGTTTCTACAGAAGCAAACAAACACAAATGAGAAATAAATCCTTAATTCAAATAGGGTACTTTTCAAATCAATAAATAAAGCAACATTTCAAAGGGAACCTGAATATAACTAGTCCATTTAAGCATTGATGATTAAAAAAAAAAAAAAAGCAAAGGTTTATGATGCATATTAGTGGTCAACGCTGTAACGTGGTAGACATCGTCAGTCCCTAAGTATGAACACAACCGATAGTGGTGTGCCAACAGGATAAGTAAAGAATTTAAAAATCCTTCTCATGTTAGTTTTGGGCATGTGAGCAGTCTTCACCGTGCAGAACTTTATGTGTAATAAATGGTTAGTTCAGAGCATTCACAAGAAACTTTTATGGATGATGAACGAGTTAAAAAAAAAAACTAACTTACTGAAGGTTCACATGAGTTTATACCATAAGGAGTCTGAAGCAATAGAACTTAAGATGGTGAGAGAAAATATTTAAGATGTGCAGGTTACATTTTGGATTTTCTTGTTTCTTTCAAGGCCTTTTTTGAGGAAACAAATAAATGACCTGCTGACACCTCGGAAGGACTTTACATGTGCTTCCATGTGGCTTTAATAAAGAAAGACTCAGACCGCAGAAAGTCATTCCACTGCTACCAGGAACTGTGCTGCACTTAGGACAGCTGGCCACCTACTGACCTGGCCTGCCTGGCCCCAGTACACCTTTTGTGTTTCCATTGCACAGCGTGAGCATTGCTCTTGCAGAGTATGCCATGGTGCAGTCTTTGGTGCACCCAGAACAGACAACAGTAGGTGATCAATGGAGCGGTTTGGTTTCCTTTTACTGCTTCATATGCACTGCCATCTCCTCCTTTATTTATTTATTTATAGAGGGCAGGTCACTTTCTTAGGCTGAGACACTTCCTGTTGCTCAAGTTTTCTCTCTGCCAATCAGAATACAGTGATGTAAACAGCCAGGTTGGGGGCAGAGTAGCACGCACTGGGACCTGCTTCTGAGCAGGGCCAGATATCACACTTTCTAGCTGGGTTCCAGCCAGGCATGGTCCATTTGGAACACAAACCCTGGTATGGTATCGGTATGGTACAGTTCCCTGTGGCAGTGGAATGATGCCATAACGGGTCTGACCATAAATAACAGCTGAATGTAAATGTATAAAGTACATTAGTGGTGGGAAGCAGGGTACTGAAGGACAAGATTATTAAGCCACCAAAGTTAGAGTATGAAATAAACAGTTAAAAAAAGCTAGACAGAATACCAGCTGTTTATAATTGGATCTAAATGAATCTAGCAGCTATTCAATTTAGGATCCTTGTTTAAATACAACTGTGTCATGAACCAAATGACCATTAGTTGTTGAGACATACCTTGATCACTATTAGTTTTGGCACAAACGTGAAACAAAACATTGGGTGCATGCTCCAAAACTCAGAGGCAAACTCAAATATTTCATTGTACAATAAACCTTTAATAAATAGTTTGTCCTTAGTACCCCATATTTACATAATAGCCATCATTTACTGATGTTGCCACACATGTCTTGGCTAATTTTAGGCACACAGAGAGGGAGTTCAGGCCACAGACCACATCGTACTAAAAACAGGAGTGGCTAGCAGGAAAGTCTTGAGAAATATATAATAATAATAATAATTAATAATAATAACTGCACCATACAACCAAACAGACCAAGAGGTGGTCATCTTGTTGAGCAATACATATATACATTTACTGCACGCACAGGTGATTTCTGTACATACATCATCTGCTTGGAAGCTGTAGAAGTGCACGAAGCTGGTGCAGAATCTTACCAATTTACATGGGATCTGAATTTATGCCTTTATCTATGTGCTGGTCTAATACATGATGATTAAAAAAAAAAAAAAAAAAAAAAAACCAATATTAAAAAGCCTGCTTTCTAGAAATCAATACCCCCTCTAGGGGAAAAAAAAAATTATACAAATTAGTCAAAATGTTGAGGGTATAGTGTGGTCAAAATGTACAGCTTGGCTTGGAACATACGGTGACTTTTGTTATGATCTACTGATAAACCTGGGACAAATATACGAATCCAACTAGCCACAGTGAAATGCTTGTTAATAAATGAAGACCGAGACTGGAAATGGAGATGGACCTTTGATGATTTACCCTCTAGCCACAATGTTGAAATGATTCCTAAAAATGACTGGTTGAAGCTTTAAAAGCTATAAAAATAGCATTACAACTTAAATCTTCAGCCAAAGAAACGAAGACAAGAAAAAACTAAAAATGATTTAACTCACTCAAGCGCACAGTACAAAACAGCAGGAAAAACAAAATTTGGCACAAAATATATGCAACACATTTCACTTCAGAAAAGATGTTAAACGGGGTGAAACCACCTGTCGGATACTAATCTGGACTGGCTATGACTTGGTCATTCAAGGGGACTTGAGACTGTGGCAGAAATAATTTACCAGTTGCTAACGCAGTATGTTAACAAATATACCTGCTCATGCACAACAACAAAATAAAAATTTTAAGTCCTAGTTTGTTATTATATGAATGTTTTTTTTATTTATTAATTTAGGTTTGTGCTGTTTCTATATCTTCTGCTTGGGTGACCCGCATTAGCAGATTAAGATGGGAGCTCTGTTATTTCCATGTGTGCAAGGATGAATAAACTATCCATCGTTATACATCATTAACAATATCAGCTGCTACCAAAACACAACTCTCTTAACTTATGGCATCTGTGAGGCTCAACTCTGCCTTCAAATGTTCTGCAGCTGCAAAGGTAGCAGGCACCACAGTCCAAAACTCTACCACCTGTGAAACCTCCCACAGAAAAACCTGGGGCTGCTGTTCGATTCCCTGTCCTTAACAAACCACCCCTTATCCAGCCAACACACGGCAGCACCTCTCAACCAAAATGTGGAACCAAACCCACTCATGCTTTCCACCTTTCTATCCTTAGCCTTGAAGTGCAGCTGTGAAATCTGCTAAAATCAAAACATCTACTTTCCTTGCCTGTGAGAAGGTGACATCAACATTCCTTTATCTACTGGTCTGAACTGCTGCTGCTATTTGTGGGGAATCTGCAGAAAGAGAGTTAAAAGCCAGCTCTGTCTAAACTTTCTACCATCTGTTGTTAGTTACTGTTTGAGAGACGTGCGGTGTCTGTTAATGGCTGCTTTTATGGCTGCTGAAAAGTCAAGGACTGCAAGAAAACATTTTCTAGTTCCTATCCAATTACTACTGTAGAAATCTTTATCCACTGCATTACATCACACAGCATGACTGATAATTCTATTGAAGCTTATGATTTTAATTCAAAGACTACAATAAACAGTCAGCGTCAACACTGACATGTTGATAGCAGTGTTCAAGCTCTGAAAAGTCCAGAGGCTTTTAAAATAAAACCATGGTTCTGCAAGCCTTAACCTCGATGGTGATAAATGTCAGGTGACAATGTAATGGAAGGGCATGAAAACAAAGGAATAAAAAAGTGTAATGGCTCCGATGGGAGCGAGAGCGCAATTACAGAGCCTCCTCAGACCTCGGTCTTCATACAGGTTATGTAATGTCTATATATTATTATATATCTCTGAAGTTATTTCAAGGCAACATCTGACGTTTGTTTCTCGAGTAAAAACTTGAAGCACAACTAGCTTTCAGTTTGAACAGAAAAATATACAACTCAAACTGTATTACTTATCTAGAGAATGACAAGTAGACATTGGAAAACAGTTTCAGCTAAACAGTGGTCTCCCTCACACACTTCTCTCTAAAATAGGTGGACATTTAAACAAAGTGTGGTCTTACAAAACTTCCTATATGAGAACTGGCTGACCCACCCTAACAGAGATCAGGCAGTGCCTCTCCAACACTGCTGTGCAGAGATTCCTCTCACAGGTATACAGCTGCTGTGCTTCCCTGCTGTCCATACAGAGGAAGAACAACATTCCTAGATGCTTTATCAGAGCTGTAGTTGCAACAACAAGCATCAGAATAAAAGTTAGCTTGTGAAAGACCATTAGACAAGTGCTCAGCTGTTTGTTACACTCTTGATGGGACAAACAGTTGACACTGCACTGGTTAGAGGAATATGAAGAATCACACAGGGATTTAGTAACATTTGAGATGTACCCCACACTAAACCAAATCACTTCGGTTCTGTTTTGCACCAGGTGGGGAGCAAACTGTTGTATGCTCCACTGTTACTGCTTTATAGAAACCAAGCAGCTCAGCCAAGTCGCACACACCTTTCCACCGCAACCCCCAAAAAATGCGTGACACTCTCTTCACACAGGGTCTTTAGAGAGTCCTCTCAATAGCCAGCTTTAAAAAGCAAAATGGGCTGCTATTGAACTGGTGCCCACTTTTGTGCTGTGGACACAAAGACACAGACACCTCTTCGTGGCACTCAAGTCTGACGGGTGCCATGTGGTAAAATGCGTGTATCTGTCAGTGTGTGCAGGGGTTCAAGGGTGGAGCGAGGGTGTCTGCCCCCCCGTAGCTGAGGTTATACACTACTATCCTCCAGCAGTGGCTCTTTTCCCTCAGCTCCGCTTCCCTGGGGGCTGTGAGAATGACTCTGTGCCCCGTTGCTGTGCTTCTTGTAGGCGCCAGCCCTCATGCCGGGCCCCGTGTGCTCTGGGATAAACAGGGCCACCAGCAGAGACAGCAGCACTGAGCATGCACCAAACAGGAAGGGAGGACCTGGGATGATGGAACTCTGAAGAGAACCAAAAAAGAAAGAAAAGAAAAAGTTAATGTGAAGCACAAGATTTAAAAAAACAAAATTGCAGATATTCATTAATGCTTACCTCATCAGTGGGGTTGGCCATGTTGGATTTGGCACCCTTTCCAGAGCCGTCCGTGTCAGACAGCTCCACATGGAACAAGTAGAAGACAAAACCGTAGAGAGCTGGGCCCAAACCATTACAGAGGCCCCGAATCCCTGTAATCATCCCCTGAACAACGCCTACACAAAGACAGATATAACGCTTTTAGTAAAATCTCTAACAGATGCTACATCTCAGTGGCCAGTTAGAACAAAATTACTATTTGTCAAAGAAATTTAAAATAAACCTTTACAAAGCAAAAGCACCCATCAGAGCCTGAATGTATCAACTTTCAATTCTGACATACAGGTAAACGGCAGTAAATTACATAAAAAAAATGCATCCAACTTCTGATTCAAAGGGATACCGTCTTGTTAAAGTGGGACGGTCAATAAAAATAATGATAACAATTCTACTGTTTATGCCTCCTCTTTCTAGCAACGCTTAAGCACAGGCCAAGGGTATTGAACTTCAATACTTTTTATGTATTTACCCAAATTGTGTCTTGCACCGAGAGTAGAAAACCGGGGAAAAGGTATTCAAATGTGGCACCGAATGCAAGGTCATACTCTTATTAGATATTGATTCATTTGTTCAATAATTAAACTACCCTGAGCCTTTGTTTTATTCCCAAAGTTCTGACATGTTTACTTTCAATACACACTTATGTTATGAAACTGAAAAGAGAAACATTATTATTCCAGTCAGTTTAAGACAAACATCGTTTTGGTATCCCACTGGCACCGATCGATTCCCATCGGTACAAACATCTGCCACCAAACATTGAGAAACTTGCCTTGTTGGTCTGGGTCTGCATTACGGGACACGATGGCACTGATGGCAGGGAACGTGATGCTGGACATGGCTGCAACGGCTCCAGCTGCCCACATCATCCTGCAACCAAAAATATGCATTTGTTAGGGACACAAACAAAATTTTGTTTAACCTTTCAAAAACTGGATTTGTGTGTGTCCTTGAAGGTGAACTAAAGGTTAAGGCTACTGTAGTTAAAATCTTGACTGTAAAAAAACAAGAAACTAAAAACCAATTTGACTATATTATGAAGGATGTCCCTCTGTAGCCAAATTGCAGCTATAAAATAAGCAGTGACTGAGCCTTGAAAGTCCATGTCAGTGTGAATTTATGCTCAAGTTGTACTTCCCATCTCATTTTTTTAAACCCTTTTTATTAACACAGAAAAGGATTCTCACCTTAATTTACTAAATACATCCAACCCGACCTTTATTTAACCCAATTTCCAGGGTACTGACCAAAGGAGAGAGGAACAACAAGGAGACAAGTGGTGAATGTTTTCTTTCAGAATCAATATTTAATTTGGTTGCTCTGCCTTCCCCTCCAGGCCAAACAACCAGACACCCTGTTATGAGACCACATCAGAGATGAAACCGATAGTGTGACCCATGTCAGTAGGTGGTGGGTCTTCGTTAAAAGCACCTTTATTCATATTTTAGGATTTCAGTAAATGGACAATAAAAAAAAAAAAAAAGTTTTACTACCGTCTTACTGCTTTCTAAACTCATGTTGTGAAAGACAGTAAAATCCTGTGCATGTGTCATTACTGCTCACAAAAGAAAATTGGTCAACTTTTATACTAATCAGACAAAACAAGTTAAAGCACCATACTGACGCCTTTAGACTTAGTCAGTTAATGAGACTACAGCAGCACCACTGCTGAACAAGGCTCTGCTTCCCTCTGGTGGCTCATCGGGGGATTACAACAACAGTGGGCAATGAGAAGGAATTCTGATGAAAAGCCAGCAATGAAACACAGTAATTTAATAATTTTGCTTAATAATAAATTTAAAAAAACAGCATCTATCTGTTAACTGGAGGATGGGGCCTGAACCATGCAGGGTTAAAGCATTGTGCAGACTGCACTTCCACTTATAGATTTGATCCCAACATATGCTGTTAAAGGTTCCTAGCAAATTATTTGACTAAAATACAAAATAAAACACGCACAAAAAACTTTCAACCAAAAGCACACAAGATTTGGTTGGCAAATGTTTTAATGACAAAGTAATTTTTACAACGCAGTAATGTTCTATATTAAAGGGCAAAATGAAAGTCCATCTTCCCACATAGAGTACATTACATGTTTGCTGTTTGATTTGAGTTGAATGAGCCACTGTAACTGGTTCAGACATATTATGACTGTGATCTTGCACCATGTTGCAAATGAATGTGTGAAATGCTGATGTGAATGCTTGTCTGTTGCTGTGTGACCGTGGTAACCCAGCCTCTCGCCCACCGTCAGCTGGGACTGGCTCCAGAGCACTCACAACTCTCTAAAGGATAAACTGGTATAACTAAGGGATGTCTCTCTGCTGGCTTTTGTGAGATTAGCGCACACTTTTGAACTTGGAGTGATGCAGCTGGAACTGCAATCAATATCTGAAGCTTGGGTTATTAAAACCATTAAACCAGTGTAGGCTCTCACTTCTAGTGGGAAGGTGTGGGTGTTAGAAACAAGTTACAAAAGTTACTGACCAGGGCTGAGAGCCAAAGCCATACCACGCCAGCTGGAGGATCTGGAAGCCAAGGCCGAGCAGAATTGTGTTCTTATTCCCTATTGAACGCATCAGGATTCCCAACACCACCGTCTGGGAAAACACACCAAAGGTCATACGGGATTAGACAAAGCAAGCAATGTGAAGAAGCTGCGGAGGATAAATACTGTGCCAGTCAGCATTGGCCTTGTTTTTCCCCACAATAATGTGAATATGCCACTGGGCTTCGGGAAGTTGTAAAGGATGTTTTACTCTATTGTCTGTCATCTTATAAACAACTGTGTTATCAACTAACTGAGAAAGTAATTAACAGGTTAATTGACGGAAGAAATGGTCAAAAAGATTAAGTAGAACAACAATACTACAAAAACAAGGACATGATGCTCAATATTACAGTAGAATAACTTTTTCCAGTACCTGAGCTAGTATTGAGAGGATCCCCACAACAGCAATAAAGGCAGCCACCGTCTCTGATGTGAAGCCTATGACCTGAGGGTGAGAGAGCATTACCATAGCATGGGTTGTGACACGAGTGTTCACCTAAACACAAGCACAGTCAGAGACAAGCGAATATCTCAACACAAAGCTTTCACTATTTTGAAAGAAGGGGACCTGTGGGTGGCCTTTTTCTCTTTACTACTGCATCCTGGAATAACAAGTGCTTCCATTTCTTCCCTTTGCTTTCTCTGGTGTATTTAGGTAAAATACAGTTTAATGTAATAATTTATGACAATTAATGTGGAGAGATTTAAGACTTTTGGCGTGTGTGGTGGTTATTGATATCCACATTGCTACAGAACTACCTTGCTGTCTTTTACAGGATGGCAGACGACAGACAACTTTAAGCAGTCTGACAAATAAGACCCGTCAGGCCCTCGTCAGTCCATGCCAGCTGCTACCAGGCTTAGAGCTGTAATTGGGCCTGAAAAGTTAGGCCCGACAAGGCCCGAGCCCGACAAGTACATTTTTGATTGACAGCCCGAACCCGTTTATAGCCCGACATTATTCAAAGAATAATTATTTTGCCAAGAATGAGTCATTTATACATGTTTTAACATAATTTATTGATACTGTATTGAACATCTCAGCACTCTAAAGGGGCAGTGCACCTCTTTGCAATTGTCACATGGCTGGGAATAACAGAGTTTACGGGAACCCTCCCATACGCAGCCCCGACAATAATTAGTTCTTGTGCCAGCTCTTCAAACCCCTCGCCATTTACGATGTTAAAAGGCCTGATGTCTTTACAGCAAAAACTGACACACTTCTCCGTGATCGCTTGTTTCACCTTTTCAGGGATGGGGTTTGATGTTGTAACAAACGATTTGATTGTAGGTTAATTCTGGGGCCTGGCACAGCATCGCTCAACATGCCTTCGCAGCGAGGAATTCCCTGTCGTTTTGCTGTCGTATTTTAAGAGAACGTTACATTTCTTGCATTTTACATAACCCACTGGGTCATTGTTCTCGTTATGCACATGTTCAAAATGTTGCCACACCTCAGACTTAGCTGCTGCTGGTGTAACCAAAAAATATACGCCAGAGGCAAGCCTTTGTTTCACCTCATCCATCTTCGTTCTTCGCAATGCATCTTTCTTGCACTAATTGAAACGCATCACGTGACCACTCATTTAATGCGCGAGCCTGAGCCCGGCCTGAGTAAAAATGATAGAAATTAAGCGCGACCCCGTCGGGCAGGGTTCGGGCTAAGAATTACAGCTCTAATCTGGCTACCTGTGTTTTAAAATACACAGGGTTTCCTGTGTTAGCATTTTGCTGAGACACCTAATGAATTTGCTGGATTCATTCTTCCACTGAAACAGGTGGCTCAGCAAACCTGCCGATTCCAACTTAAATCAGTGAAGGTGAAAGTGTGTGCTCAGCAAAGTTCCCCTTGTAGCACTGAGATTATTCCTTGAGCTTTCCAGTAGCATTTTCAGTTTATTAGTAACACAAATGGCAAAAATATAATGCCATTAGAATCAATGAGCATGTGTTAATCACAAATAGTAGTCTTAAACCACAACTTAACAAGAATTTATGTATTCATTTTACCAGAGACATGGTAGCAAGTGTACATGACATGTTACCTGTCTGAGATAAAGGAAAAAGCTGGAGTACTGGCCCGCCTCGGGGAGGTAGGAGAGAAACACTGTGATACAGATGAGAAGCACCGTGGAGTCCTGGCCCACTTTACGCAGAGACTGCCCAAGAGAACAGCGAGAACAACTGAACATATGCCCAGAATTTCAAACATGAACAATATCAGTGGCATTTGTGATACACCGATTTATACACATTTCTTATTTAATAAGCCCTGAGCCACAATGGCACCTCTGCGGCCCAGTGTCTTGCCATAAACACTTCAGTTAGCTGTCTTCCAATACAAAATGTGCTACTGATACAGTGTCTGAATGAAAGGACCAGATCACCGTCTTAAAACAAACCCATGCCCATGTTTACATTGAAACTGGTTTTTCTTGCTGTTACCTTTCTTCCTGTTCATACTGGTAATTTAAATAGTCCCTCCTAACATGAATGTTTTCGGATTTAGCAAAAGCCCTCATTTCAAGGCAGAAATATGTTATACAAAATGTCTGAGTAATGAGATCTCTGCAATCTGAATTAAGTCAGATAGCGCCCAAATATACAGGAGGAAGAGTAACAGGAAAATGACTAACACACTAACTTTGAAGGATAGTTGACTGTTCTGCCTGAGACTGCTGAAGCCTCATTAATTTCAATTCAACTTTTGAATTTATGTTTGCACAGAATGAGGACTATGGATTTATCACCTCACACATTTATGCATCACAAATGTTACTGTAATAGAGTACAGTTGCTTTCTCTTATGAAAAAGCAATTCCTAAAGCTTCAGCAGTTCGCTCTTTTTAAAATTCACCAATTAGAAATAAAGGAATGTGGCTATACATCCTTGTGCAGCTCTGCAGGAACAAATGATTAAAAGAAAAGACTGTTCAGTGAGCAATTTGTGATCAGCTTGCCCTTGCACATAATTTACATCACCAGTAAGTGTGTTTCCAGCACGAGGGCCTTTGCTAAATCCGAAAACATTCAATTACACAGTTCATTTTACTTTGAAAAAGCTTGAACTTTAGACAAATGTTTTTATTCAAACCAAAGCACTAATAGCTGATAAAACACTGTATTCAACAGCTGTTTAGCTTGATATAACCTGTGTAAAATACTGGGTCACAACTGACTAAAAATGATCAATAGAGAGGATTGTGTTTTCACTCACGGCAAAAGGATCTGCCTGTTCCCAAGAGATGGGTGCTCCCCATGATGCTGGCCTCATCTTCTCTGGCAGAGACTCTGGTACAGCTACTAGGATGAAGCAGATATCAAGGAGGGCGATTGCCGTGGCCAGAATCACCACCAAGGTGTCACCATAGTTGTCAGACAGATACGCGCCGATTGCCGGGCTGGTGACCAGACTAGCCGCAAAGGTAGCCGATACCTGAAAGGAGAGAACAAGCACAGCTGAGGTGAGCAAAAAGTGAAGTGATCAGTTTTCCTTCCATGCAGTTTTCAAATCAACTG